GACATGGCCTTTTACCCGTGATCTGTCTCCAAAGGGTTAACCAATACTTACTTCTGGAGCTTAATGTATTTATATACTAACACTTATTGGTACATGCTTTTTAAGAATTTTTTTTATAATGTTCATTTAAAAACAATTATATTTGTTCAGAATACAAGATGGACTAATCTAGTTCATAAAATGCTTCATACATGAATTTAAAATGGTTTAATTTTACATTTTAAGTTTATGAAAACAATTGTTTTACTTGTGTGATTACCCTCCTTAAATCATGAATTGTTATATAACATGAAAATGGAATGATAAACTTTTGTCTAGTAAAGTTTGAGACACTTTAATTTTGTGCTTAAAATACAATGTCTAGTAATGTTAGATATCTATTTACACTATTGTGTAAATTATGAACATTAATTCTTATATTTAATTAGTTTTATTTGTTTAACCCTTATGGACAAAACTAATCTTATTTATATTTTTTGAACTTGTATGGAAAATGAGCAATTAAAATTGTATAACTGGGTTTCATAGTTGTCTCATAATGTATAGCATGTTTCTTTCAAAGTTAGAAACCATAGGCAGATCTTCCTTAAAATTCCAGATCTTTTTGTTTGGCTGAACTTTTTTTTTTTCGTTCACAATTGATGTGCATTTAATGTTAAATTACATTTGCCTAACTATACTTATTGTCGAGTTTCAAGACTTAAAGTACAAGCTAGAGATAAAGGTCAATGTCAAGGAAGAGACTGCTGATAAATTTCTTAATGAAATGAAATTTTGAAAGTTTAGTGTGCCATTCACCAATATCATTTACTTTTAACCATCATGTCGTATTACAACCAACAGTGTTTACATGTATATTGTATAATCATAATCTTTCTCACATAAAGGCAGTATAATAAAAAGATATAAATGGTTTTAATAATATAAATCAGAAAAGTGCAGAGCCAAATATAGAACATTTTTAATGGTGAAAAGTGTATTAAGTTATTAAGTATGATATGCCTAACTTATCTGACCCCAACCAAATAACACATCTCCAAACAAAGGTATAAAAAAATATGTACTAGATGATCAAAGCTTTTACATATTAAATTATTATGCATGCAAGTTTAAGATCTAATACCAGTATTTATACTGAATTCAACTTAATACTAATGTGAGGCGACTGGTTAGCCTCATGGTTAGAGCTCTGGATTTCAGCTGGGTTTGATCTATGTGTTACCACAAAATATTCTTTGCACTTAAATTGTGGGAGCATTATGGGAGTGACATATAATTCCTAAGCATGAATGAGGGCTAGTAGGGTGCTGCCGACTGATTGTGGCAGCCTTTTCTCTGGTTGCAAATTAGAAATTAGGGATGGCAGCAAACAGCCTTAATGAATTTGCCATAAATACAAAATAGAAATACAAGTCTGCATTACATTATTTAGACTTCTGCATCAAGCTTAAGAAAGGAAGAAAAAGGCTGAGAACTTCTAATAAATATAAATAGTTTAATTTTTAAACATTCTTCTTTCCAAAGCTGAAGAAGAGTGTTGTTTAAGGTAACTATAACAACTAGTTACTTTCATACATATCAGATAGTTTGAAATGGTTTGCAAACAGTGATATTTGTTTTTGTATTTTTTTTTGTCGTTTTTTTTTTTTTTAGTACACAGTTTTATTCACAGAATGTTGTTTGTAAAATAAAACTTGTAAAATGTTTTATGAGTAAAATGCATTTTCTGTGGTTAAATATAATCACGTATTTGGGTGAGAATTGGTAGCTTGAGCTTAATCTACTTATATATCTATAGAGATTAAATTAAGTTGATAGCTTAGATATATTCATTGAATAATTATTTATAGATGCTTAAGAAATATTTTATGAGATTAAAAGAGCATGTAACTGATTAATTTTGGTAAACATATTTTGTACCTTATTTGATACTTGTATCAATACAAATATGAAGGATAGCTGAAATAGCATTCAAATAAGCTTTTACAGTTTATCAAATCTGTATGAGCAGTTCACATGGAAATACATAATCAAACTTAGAACTTAGACTGGAATATTTGGGCAAAATATGAGCCACTTGCATGGAAATAAATAATCAAATTTAGAACTGATATTGGAATATTAGCACAAAATATGAGTAATTTTAATGGAAATACATAATAAAACTTGGAACTTAGATTGGAAGATAGGAAAAAATATGAGCAATCTGCATGGAAATACATAATCAAATTTAGACCTTAAATTGGAAGAATAGGACAAAATATTTTACAGAAAATGAAAACTGTCTGTCAGTATCTTTCCCACTTATATCTGTCATGATAGACAAACAAGAATATATAATAAGTGGATAATTGGTTGGCATGCATTTTTTTACTCGGGAAAATTGTTTAACTGAGTTTGATTTTTGAAATGTATTGTCATAAAAATGAATATGCATTTTAACAAATTTTGTAAGAATAATATTTCTCATTTCAGGTTTATGTAGATCAGGTGGATCAGAATATTGTTGCAGTAACACGTCACTGTCCTGCTACTCATCAGTCAGTCATTCTTGTTGCTCGGACAGCATTTCGCCAACCCCAAACCCCAAAGGATACAGGATTTGTCCCTCCACTTTGTGTGCCAGGTGTTTTGAGTTTATGCTGTATTTGTCTGCTCCTTAACCATGATATATGTTTTGGTATAGGATTAAATGAAAACATTAATTTTTATGATCAGATTATTTTTACTGTAGGTTTTTCTTGTTTATTTTTTCAGCACTCCTTCTCTGAAGCCTTTTGTAGCCATTTATTAATATGTAAAACCTGATATAACTCAGTGATTGATTAATTATATGAGTGGTTGCCAAATATATGTTTTGTATGAGAATACCAACTTAAATTGAGAAAAAGTTATTTGTGATGTTTTACTGGCTCTGTTTTGAAATCTGTTTTATGTTTATTAATGAGACTTGCATTGTGCATGAAAGTGTAGTAATCTAACATAGCTTGGGAGAAAATATTTTTTCTGTGAATGTAAAATTTCAAAAAAACTTGCAAATTTAGATTTGTTTTTGAAAAAAAAATTAATTATTTATCAAACTTGTATAGTTATAAAAACGTACATTTTGTACACATTGATAGATGAGGTTTGTTTCTAAAATAATTTTGTACAAGAAAATGAATGATACTCTTACCTGGAATATACTTTTGTTTTTAATCATAGTTGACGTACCTGATGATGCCAGGTTAACCTGGTGAAAAGTTGTACTTCCATTTTACTCTGTTTATCCGATTTATCAAGTTTACTTTTAATTATGATAGAGTACTTCCTTTCATCGTATTATATTGCTCTAAAAGAAATATTATATATTATTTTTAAACTTAATTACAATTACAGAATTATTTGTTTCCTTCTTTAAGGCATTACCTTATATTGATAGTAAAGGTCTCATGTTTACTTCTCTGTTTTTAAATTGTAGATTTAAGTGTGATCTTTTAAGTTATATATTTTACTTAACTAGTCTAAAATGCTGCACCTGCCTTTCAATCCAAAGAACATTGTCTGAAAAACCATTGAAGTTTGTGATTTTTTTTTTTTTGTTTAAAGTAATTTAATCATTAATAATAAATTACAGGTATTGTGGAAGAGATCATTTTGGAAGCTCGTCTCTTCCACAAGGGGCAAACTAGAAAAACTACTGAAAATGATTGGGCAAAGGATGAGACTTTTATCAATGGATTTAAAGATTTCCAGTTAGATATTCGAGAACACATCCAGTTGTACGAGAGTGATATGGTAGAACTCACTGAGAGTGGTGAGAAGCATGTTCAAGAGGTGGAGTTCACTAACTTTCCACCAGGGTCTGTTGTTGCTTTCAGGTGACCATTTTTTTTTTTACAAATACTCCAAGGAATCTTGTTGTAATTGCAAACAGACATTATATTTTTTATATAAGTCATTTGTGAAAAAAATCTGCATTATAAATACAATTGTGTTTTTGAAATGAAAAATATGCACAAAATGTAGAAGTTCCACATGCGAGTTGGTAAAACTTACAAACATAATATACTTGTTTATCTACTTAAAAGTTATAGTTGATTACGATCTTTTTTTTTTTCTTGTGAGGTTTTGAAAATCCTTTCACAAAAACTAACGATACCAAAAAATGATAAATTACTAGATAAAATGCTAATTTATTGCACTTTCTAATTAAGCTATATGTCAGTCTAAAGAATTTAATTTCTGTTTAGACTATCGCCTTGATCATCACACTTGAAACTCTCCAATGATATAATGGTTGTCCCTACATCAGTACTTTTACATAGTTCAAATTTAGCACTTTAAATTGGTTATAAGCATGTACAATCAATTAAGTATATGTTGATTCTAAATCTCAAGTCTTAAAAATAGATTGTGGGTTTAGTATCTATGAGGAACTGGCAAAATTTATTTCTTGTGGCTGGGAAAGTTTGACCCTAAGGAACAGAACAATTAACCTAATTTCTGACTTGACATAGAAGTATACTGTACATGTAGTGCTATTCAAGTTATAGAGACCAAAAGTTAAGATTTGTGAATGCTTATGTATCTTGTGACAACAAAACTCAAGCTGAATAATTTTTTTTGTAGATTTCTTTTGAAATAAAGGAATTAAAACTTTGAATTATAACATACATTATAATGTCAATTTCACTGACATACATTAATATCAAAGTTGTTTGATTACATTTTGATTGAAATTTGGTAAAACTTCATGGCATGTGCAGAAAATGGTACTCATAATGTTAGGGTTAATGTCAAAGGAAAAATATACATTATCAACAAACTTAAGTTTTGGCAGTATTGATTACATCAATTACTATCATGTCAAATAATTGATTCAATGAAATTGCTATTGAATTGGTTAATGTTACAAAAATAGCAAATAAAAAGTATTGTTTCTGATTATTACTGTTTTTGATTATTTCAACTATTGCCATTAAAGTTTCTCATGATTAATTTTAATTAATTCATGGTTGTTCAGCTTAATTGATTGGCATCATATATCACAAAAATAATCAATTAATTAAAAATATAGTTTCTGATAACTACTTTTTTTAACTATTCCAAATACTTGAGCCTTGTGAGAATAATTGATTAGTTGAATGTGATCGATTAATAAGTCCAGTTTTTAATCAATTGTCAAATTCCACCAAACTCCTAATTCTAATTATGTATACACACATTTGTTTATTGAATGACTTTAAATATGTGAGCTTTTTCTTTATTAAAATTGATAATTGTTTTTTCGGTAAGATTTAGTATAAAACTGTATTTGAAATTGAGTAATGTATAGATATACAACGTGTCCACAAAGTCCTGTTCCAGTTTTAAAAGTTTATTACAACAAAACCAAAAAAGCTAGAATTATGCAGTTTTTAGTACTTTGGTACTTAATTAATGAAATTTTTCGTGATTTATAGATTGTTGTTTGAGTGTCCAGTTGCTAATGATTGAAGTTCGAATGAAGTTTGTGACCGACTACACAGGAAAAATTTCAAAGTATCATCTGGTTCGTAGAGTTGAGATCAGTGACAACTGTTAAATGGAATTATCGCCATCAATATGGCAAGGACCCTCCCTTCAAACCCAGCATTAGGAGGTGGTTTCACAAGTTTCGGGAGACAGGAAGTGTGATTGACCTGCCTTTACGTGTACATCCAGGTGTTTCTGAAGAAACTGTTGCTAATGTCCAGGAGATGTTCAAACGCAACCCTAGAAAGTCTGTTCATCATATTTCAAGTAAACTCCTGTGTAGTTTCCATCTTCATTCAAACTTCAATCATTAGGAACTTGACACTACGATTACAATCTGTAAATCAAGAAAACAACTTCATTAGTTAAGTAACAGGGTGCTAAAAACTGAATAATTCTAACTCATTTGGTTTTGTTCTAAAAAAACTTTAAAACCAGAACAGGACTTTGTTTGTGGACACCCTGTATTACTTTGTGAGAAGATGAATTTTATATGGTTTTACTCAAAGAACAACTGCGACTTCTGGGAATAAATACAAGTACTTTAGTATGTATATGTTTCTAGTGTTTGTGTTTTAAAGTTAAATATATATTTTTTGTCTTTGGTAGATATTTTATTTGACAAGAAATTTTTTATCACTTTAAACATATACTTCATGCGGAAATGTTTCACCCATGGTCAAAAAAGGTACCTTTCATGTCATGATAGGCAATGAGAATGTGATGCCTAGGATCAATTTTCTTTACAATTCATGTCATAAATTTTGAGGAATGTGTTGCTTGTGATCAAGTCAACTTGTACAGTTTATGAGTAACATATATTTTAGAGCTGTAGAAAGTGTTGTTTATAGTCAAGCAGATAACAGAATATTTCATATCCTAGCAGTCATGTCATAGAATATGTGTATTATGAGTGACTCTTTTAAGTATATGTTGGTACTTGCTCAGAAGTGCATATATAAATTTTGTGGGATTTTGCATTTCATTTTGTGCTAAAAGAATCCTGCTACTAGACTGTATAGTAATAAATATCCAACTAACCTTACATTTTCAATTGTGTTACAAAAGCTTATTTTAGGATTGTGTATTATTATGCAGAGTATTGTTCATTATTTGTATACGTTTTATTATGGGAAGCCTGTTTCAGGGATGTTTGTGAATATTTTAATTCTTGTACATGTATAATTATGTATTACTTGTAAAAAATCTTGTTTTTGGATTGTTTATGAATACGAAACATGTAGTTTTTTACTTGGAGGTGTATTATTAAGTTGTGTTATAGCGAGAACTTAGTCAGTTACTTGTACATTTATTGTATTATTAAAAGCTAGTTACAGTTATCTATAGGAATGTGTAGATCATAGTTATAAATAGCTCCAGTTCTCGTTTGGAATTATGTGGTTTACTGTTAGATGAGATATGTTTCAGTGCAAGTATGGATATGTGATTTACTTAAGCCATTTACAGAGTGAGAAGTTTGAAATATTAGCTTGTTTTAGAGAATAAATATAGTGTTATTAGCTGTTGAGTATTGCAATTTGAATGTTAGGTCTAATCAGCACAGATAGATTGATTCATGATAAGAAATGTTATTATGAGCTTTATATGTCTTGAGATGTGTGAAACAGCGTGGTATAGATTTGTTTACATAAACACAACACTCCTATATTTGTGCCCTTTCAATAACAATGTGTATTTCACATTTGCTTAAGTCTGTTTAATGGCTGTAACTGGAGTGTGTAACCTTTAGTCAGGCACCTTTACTTTCATGCTATGGCAGTAGAAGCATGTTACAAAATGTTTAGAACACAAGGAATTAATGTATATATATCAAATCCATAAAATATAGTGACAATATCACAAGAATGTGCAAAACATTTTTGAAAATATGTAGCTGTTTGTGTATTTCATCTACAGTAAAACCCCCATTAATCTGAATGCATTTGTAATGAACTAATTTGTCCAGATTATTAAGTTATCCAGATAATAATGTCATTCACTTTGAGTACAATGGACACTCTTAATAGCATACATTATTGATCGATAAATGTAAGGGTAGGCACGCAACAGCAGGTACGATAAAAATCTTATATCAGCAATAATTATACAAATTGCATAATCAAATTGACAATCTTCATATAAAACATCATTTTATGTTCAAATAAATGACTTGCTTACAGAATATAGTATTGCATAGTATTCAGGAGCTCAGTCAATGTTGTGTAGTTTTAAAAGTTCAATGTGCAGTTGCATATTTGCATGTAATTGTCAGAGAGCTACAGAACCACAAACTTTTCTCAAAATGTATGTCACAGTTTATATAATAATGAATGCTATAATATGATGTAGATTTTAGCATAATTAAATAAAATTTTAATAAAATCTTCTTGAACCTCTAATATATGTATGTATGATCGTACTAACATTTTCATTATGTACAAAAAATCTGCTTTTGCAATTATAAAAGTAAATTGACAAAAAATAAATAAATTAACATTGCTCAGCATTCTCTGGGAGATGTTACGGTGTGGTATACATTTTAACCCTATCTCCCCAGGTATCCTTTACTGTGCATGACACAAGTTTTTAGTGTCTTACATTCAAAATTTTATCAAAGTACTTTTTTATGTATGTTATACCAATTAGAGTCTCATGGTCAGTCAAATTGACTGAGCCTATATTGAGAGAGTTAACCAATGGTTTGTACAGCTCTGAAAATTCCTTAAAATATAGCCTTTTGTTGTTTTGGTCAAATATATAACAGATCACTTTCCAAAAATAAATGTAGTCACAGTGTGTTTTTGAACTGATTTTTTTTTTCTTTTGAAGCTGCTCAGGAGATTTAAACAACTAACACATTACATCATTCTCTTCACATAAATCACCATTTAGTTTTAACTATGTGATGATGTCTTTAAGGCTAGATTATGCTTTATTCAGACTAACTAGCTTGACTTATGGATCATTTTTGATGTTAAATGCACTGCCACCACATTATTGAAGAGACCTGATAGAAATGATCTCTTCTTCTTTTAACAAGTCTTGACTAATTGGTTCTGCTGAGTCAATGTTGAGCCACTAATCAGTTGACATAGCATCATTAATATTTCAGACTAAGGTATGAATTCCAGAAATAATCTTATTAATGACTTGAAATCTCACAAGTTTCACTCTATTTAGGCTGCAGCAAAAATTGCTTGAAGCAGTTTTTGACATATTTCACAATAACACTGGACCATGGGAAACTTATTGATTGTAAACCTCATGGACATATATTGTTCATGTATCATTATTTTCAGCACATTCAATGTACTTTCTAATCAAATGGTGGTGGTAGTAAACTTTGAATGACCTAATTATGCCTCTGTGACTTGACTATTTAAATCACTATTGTATCCTCTCAATACTTGTCATAGTTTATATATACATCCCTACTTTGAATATCATTCTCAGAAAAACTGTTAGAAATTGATACCCACTGTAAATATAGGTTATTTTCAGAAGAAGGGTCATAAACTGATCCAATTAGTAGTACATGCAATTTGTTGTCAGTAATTGTCACCTCATTTCTTATTCTGATCGACCTCTATTTGACTCTCAGTCACATTTGGATTACTGAATCGTGTATTCATAGGAAGCACATACTTGTTATAAGAAATGGCTGTCCGAATTTGGTTGTTGATTAAATTTCTCATTGTGAAGATTTATCAACGAGAACAATCATCCAAATTCTGAATAATTCAGATTGTCAATGTCTAGATGAATGAAGGTTTACTGTAATTATTAATAAGAATTGACTGAAGAGCGTATAATATGTCAACCACCTTACATATTCATATTCACATATTCAGTACTGATGAGGCCTTTCACTGAATACCAGTTCTTTTCAGCTTGAATGGGATATGACAGACATAGTAGTTATTGAGGTGCTATATGTTAGCCAATTTCTTGACAACTGTTACAATGTGAATTGGATTAAGTTGATGAAATGTAGTTTTTCATTAATTTTATTTGTTATGCTATGCATGTTTTTGATCAGACATCTGCTCATTTTCTTAACTTTTTGAAATCTGTACTGTATTTGGTAAAGATATCTTTTTTTTTAACCCTTAAGGACTCAATTGGGGTCATTATGAACCCCAGCCAAATAATAATGAATTTCAACCTGTTAAGACTGCAAGTACATTTGCAAATAGATTATTTTTCCTCTGGTGACTTAACTTTGAAGGGAATGAATAATTTAATGTTTTTTGTCTATTTTGCATCATCAAATTACATGGTTTGAACTTGCATGAGCACTTAAGTGAGTGTAAAGATTAAGCAAGTATTTAAAGATTAATATGTTTGATTATTAAATTTCAGTAATAGAGAATATCATTAAAGGAGGAATAGACGTTTTTATGAATAGTCATAAGTAAAGTAAACAGCTTTCTTTGTGAATTGGTATAGGAGCTATAAATAACTGGTAATTTATTTCTTAAAATAGAGTTTCCCTAAATTCAGCAGCACGAACAGCAGTTTTAAAGTTGAGGACATGTGTTGCACAGTTCGGATATCGTATGAGGTCATACAGTGGAACACAAATACAGCCACAAGGAAATGATTTTCTCTCAATTGTTAGTCGCCTAACCTTATCAGACTTGAACAGGGTGCTGTTTAGGTGTGACCAAGAAGAAAAGGATGAAGGAAAAGGTGGTGGAGCATACAATATACCCAACTTTGGTGAGCTTCCATACTGTGGACTGCAGGGTAAGTGTAATGGCCAAGAAGCTAAATTGATGAAAATATATATAGAGCCATAAAGGCTCATTATTAATACTTATTCCCTGCCAAGTAGCAGTTACTTTACATTTCTATGGGCAACTGAATCTGCTGTATTAATGGTGCATTTTTGAACATATTTTAGATATGACACTAACAGATAAGTTATGCTAAGTGACATTAAAACATGTACATTGAACATTTTTTTTGCTAAATAGATCATCTGATCTATCTACATTAATTATTATCATGAATGTACAAAGAAACTAAATATAAAAACAGCAGAATTATTTTAAAATTCATATTTATCTCCATAGTTTTTATATTTTATAGGAAAAACAATTTTTAGGTTATGGTTTTTTTATTTTTTCTTATGCTTAAGATTTTATGTTTTGTGAGAAATATGGTTAGAAAATGTGAGACATGTTCTGTTTCAGATACTTTTTAAATTATACATTTGAAAAAACTCGTACACTTAAACTACATATATCATATACTTTTAAACATCTAATCTGGGTTAATCCAAAACTTTTTTTGCTTTATTAATAATTAAAGTAAAATGTAACAGAAGTGACACTAAAATAAACTCCTTAGAGAGTTGGGCAGAATTTGTTTCTGGGGGAGAAAAAGGCAGAGCTAATGCTATTGTACAAGTCTAAAATTTGTTTTGAACCAAAGTATAAAATTTTCTGGAAGAAATAAGTTTTCCAGAATGCTAAGATACTTTAATTTCCAAGATTTTACTTTTATTATATTTACAATAGCAAGGATGTTATTTAGGATATAAAAAAGTATTCCCAGCATTTAGTAAATTGTTTTTTACACATATAGTGTTAAACTTCTCTCTAATTCAATTGGTGTATGAGTTAAACATAGATTGTGCTTAACAGATAATCCCCCAGCCTGATATAAGTGCAGTATTTTGAAAGTCTAATTTTTAGTTTAATGAAAATTTATTGTGCTCTTCGGTTAGCTAGATTTACAGCTAAGCGCTTGGTTAATTTTAAAACAGTAAATATCAGTTCAATTACTCTGCACTAAATCATTCTTGTAGGCAGGTGCTAAGAGTAATATCCATTGCATTTTGAAATATTTTTTTAATTTTTTACATGAAAATAAACTTCCACAATGAGGTTAAATGCTTTGAAAACATTGATTTTTCTCAGAGTTACAAAATAAATAGCTTAATGATATTTAAAATGTCAGACATTTAGTAGGTTATGAAATAAGTGAGATGTAAGATAGAGTACTTGAGTAGCCAAACTAATATAGTAATAGTAGCCTTCTAGAAGTAATATCTGCCTAACCACAAGTCTTTGAGAGTGGATTCTATAACATTTGAAGAAAAGGCTTGTTGAGGTTATCAGTGAAATTAATTCTGTAACTGTGGAAGATAATTTTCTGAGTAAGCACTTCATGATCTGGATGTTTGAGAATAAGCCAACACGATTACTCATTTCTGCATTATTCAGTTTGAAAAAATTGTATTATTTGAGAACAGTAGCACTTCCAAAAAATGAAGTTCTTTTGGATTAAAATTGTACCATGAGACAAACCTAGAAAGTACGACTCAAACTTTTATTTTTTTAGGTAGCATCCTTTATTAGTTTTTGCTTTCTGTGTTTAAAATATCACACAAGATTGATCATTAAACTCAAGCATATACAAAAGCAGATAATGGTTAACCATTCTTTAATAAAAATTGATGTTAGTTACCAGTAAATATATTACTGTCATTAATCTGGAAGTGTTTTGTAGATTTTTTTGTAGATATAAATTGTATGTTATACTGTCACATTTGTTATTCCATATATTTCCATCCTTTTTCTTCATCCTTAACATTAGAACTGAGTAACGTACTAATGTTAGTACTTTTTTTTCAACAGTTTTTATATTGCCTTATTGGTTTTTTTAGGTTTGATGTCACTTTTAGCTGACATTCACCAGAAGAATGACTTGGGTCACCCCATCTGTGAAAACCTTCGAGCTGGAGATTGGCTTCCATCTTACACTGCCAATCGTCTATTACTGCATCCGTCGACAAAGGATGTATGTTTTTATTTCTATATTCGATTTATTATTTAAAATCTTGAATTTTTTCTGTTTGTGAATATTTTAAATTAGTAAACAGAAGCACTTTGGGAACATTTGATGAATTTCTTACAAGGAAAGATGAAAGCACGAAAAATTTAAGTGTTTGAAACTTTTGTTTCTGAATAACTTGATCCCTTGTGCATCTGCCTATGAGACTTGCACACCACTAGCCTTGAGCTAACTTCCACCTAAAAATTGTGTTTAACGTGAACTGTGCTAGTGAATGATGACATCATTATGGAACAATAGTTCTCCACCAGTTGGAGGGTGACACAACCTTCTTGCACTTGCAATTCAAACAACTCCTTTCTTTTCATCAGTATTCTCTTAATGGGTGGGTTTTTTAAACGTATTATTTAATTATGTAAGATTTGTGATAGTTAATGAAACTTAAATCTTATTGACATTTAACTGTTTTCTTTCATTACTAAAGAAAAAAAAATCCTGCTTACCCATTATGAATTCTCAAGTGATGGTAATGTCTACTTTGTTGTGTGATGGTGGCCAGTTTACTAATATGGGACATGTAGCTACTGGAAGCTAATTGTCAGTGGAGGATGTGACAGCTTTTGTTCAGTGTGTTGTGGGTTCCCTCATGCACACTGGGCCTCCTCCTCCCATCTGTTTCATTGATGTTCTTTCTCCTCAGTTTGAATATGACCAGGATGATTTTGACTGACTGTTTTTCCATTTGGGTTTGCTTTAGGTACAGCTTTGTCTGTAGAAGAAAATCTTCAACCTCTAATTTCTTATTTAACCTGATTTCACAGTTCTCCTTCTCCAGTGTCAAGTTAACTTCTTTCCTTCTTTGCCTGATATTAAGCTTCATCCAGACTCATTTCTTGAACAACTGTGCATCTGTACTCACATGCTTTTGTCCTCCTCACCTACTCAACTCTTTTGTCCTGGCTCATAGTCATTCTTCATTTTTTTTCCTTGACTCCTAATCTTTGGAATCTTTTTACCTGTATGGGAGCAGACCCCTTAACATCTGTTTTACTTCCTAGTGCCCAGTTTTCATGCCTTCGTCTTTTTCTTATCACCCTCCTATGTTACTTCTAGTCCCTTCATTTTATTACTGAAGTACTTCATTGTGCTCTAGAAGGGTTTTCTGGAGAGGTTAATTCTATAATTTTTACCACCTTAGCTCGTATTACTACTTCTGTTCTATCCCTCCTTACTTGGTTCTTCTGCTGTTGGGACTAGTTGGGTAGGGTTGCTCTCCTAACTAATGTTTTCCCTGCCCCACTCTTATCTTCCTGATTTCCATTGGGCTCCTTTTCTTCACCCAGAGGTTTTCTTGGGTGTTCCTGACACCCTAGAGACCCAGGCCGAGGCAGCCCAGAATCAGTCCTTGTTCTCTTTCTTGGTTTCTCATCTTTCTCAACCTTGCCCTTCTGTTCCTATTCCTAGGCCTACTCAATCCACATGGCCCTTTCCCATTCTATCTTTCCAATCTACTTTCCCTTCTACCACTTCCCAATATCAGAGTTGTCACTCATCTCATCAATGACTATCCTGTCAGGTCTGGCCCAGTGGTCATAAGTTTGTCTTGCTTTGCCAGCCTTTTGTCTCCATTTTTGGCTGACAAATGGGTTCTCCAGGTTCTCAACCATCAAGAATGCAGTCTCAGATCACTTAACCAAGATTGTCACCAAGAGGGTATTTACCATTACTCTGGGATATTACTCTATTTTTTTTTTTGTGTGTGGTCTCCAAGAAGACCAAGAACAAGCATCTGGTTATCAGCCTGTTGTCTCTCAACCATTTTCTAGTCAACCCATAGTTCTGATTGGAAGGTTTCTTTTCTCTTCAGTGGTACTTTTTGCATGGTCTGTGGATAACCAAGGTTAATGTATTGAATGTTTTTTACATATTCCAATTACCTCATCCTCCGGACATTTTCTTTGTTTCATCCATCAGAACTGAATCATCCAGTTTTATGCTTTTCCTTTTGCCATTGCATCTGCTCCTTACATGTTCACTTGAGTCATGGGAACAATCGCTTACCATATTCACAAATTGGGCCCAAGGTACCATTATTACATAGATGTTTGGCTTCTCCTTGGCCATTCTCAGGAAGATTCCTTATTTCACACCTGCATTCTTCTTATGGTGGCTGCCCAGCTAGGTTAGCTAGTCAAGCATTTCAAGTTTTTCCTCAACTCTACCTAATATTTGGTACATCTGGGCATATTATTCATTCCTCATCTCGGTTGGGCTCAGCCTTCACCACTTTGCCTGCAAACATTGGAATGTTGTGTCACCAAGATTTGCACTTCTTATTTACACCCTGTGTATGAGGTTCTTTCACTTTTGGGGACTCTGGCTTTCCTAGAACTACTCATTCCTTTATGCCACTCGCACATGTTCCTCCTCTAATAGACATTATGGGATCAGTGGAACCTTTCTCAAGATCATTTGTCCTCAATTGTGAGACTCCCCTCTCCTCTTCTCAAGGCCTAGTTTTAATGACTTGACCATGCCAATACCACAGTGGGAATTCTGATGCCACCTACCCCCCAACCAGATCTCCATCTTTTCACAGATGCTTCCTTGTTGGGCTGGGGTGCATCTCTGAACAATGACATGACTGGGCATATTGGGTTCAAAGGAGCATTCATTCTACATTAATATATTCAAACATCTCACAGTTTGTTGTATATGTTCCCATTTCCTTCCTCTTCTTGTAAGAGCGTTTGGTCTTAATCCACTGTGACAGTTCCACTGTCATTTCCTATATCAACCACCAGGGAGTGCTCCAGGACTCTTTGCTTCTGTGCATTGAATCTGCTGTTTTGGGCTCATTAACATCAAGTATGCTTCATAGCTTTTCATGTGCTCCTATTCCTCCTCCTGCAGCAGGATGGATTTGTCATCCCTCATCACTCCTCTCAACACTAAGCTTCCACTTTTTTGATCCCCAATTCTTCATCCTTCAGCTCTGGTGGTCAATGCTCTCAGCCAGGACTGGCCTCACCTCTTTCTGTATGCTTATCCTGCTCTTCGTGTTGCCTTTTTGGCTTGCACAATCCTGTTTTCCGTGCTTTGTCATCCAGGCCCCCTCTTCCTCTGCCTTGTTCCCCCTCTGTTTTTCTACAACTTCACACCTTATTTTCACCTAGGGTTGTTGTTCCTCCATTTTCACATGTGGTATTGTCTGGTCCATCTCCTGCTGGGCCAGACTTTCCAATCATGTAGCCTTCTTCTTATCCCATTTCTGTCATCCCTCAACTTTATCTGTCTGTAAATGAAAATGGCAAGTTTTTCAAAGTTGATCCATCTGCCATTCCCTTCCTCCAGGCCATCCTATTATGGCCCACCTATCAGCCTTTTTTTCACATGGTTGTTTGGCTATTGATTGTCAGTCTCCACCATAGTTGGTTATTGGGCAGCTTTGTCAATTACATTTTGCCTTTCTTGTTATCAGCATATGTTTGTTCTCCTGTCCTCCACTTTATTCTAATCTTTCCTTTTTTGCCAACCCCCCTCGTCCAACTCTCTTGTCTGACTGGGACCTTAATGTAGTTTCATATGTTCTTACGTGTGCCATTGGCTTCTTGTTCTTTATACCATCTTTCTCTGAGAATATACCTCCTGCTCTTCACCTGTGGTTGCTGTAGTTCAGATGTGAATGCTATCAATGTTTCCCACATTCTCTTTCATTGTACTTACTTACTCTACCTAGACTGGGCTTTTCTTCCCAAGACTTCAACTGCTTGGGAAGGTAATCTTTCTTTCTTTCTTACCTCCCTCCATTATATCTGTCACCTCTATGCTCCTTTGGACCTGAATTGTCTTATGTATCCAGTCCAGGCTGGGTAGTGTTATTTGACATGAACTTTTCCTTTTTGGGGTTTCTGTCATCATTTGTTTCTGCCTTGGAACCCTTCTTTGTCCAAGGGCTTATACCCTCTTACCCTTACTGAATAGGCCCAGCAACTTTTCCAGTTGGTGTATTCTCCAATAGATATTGATGCTTGTAGACTTTTTCACATTTTGTCATATCAAATTCATCACTTGTCTCACTCACTTGCATCTCATTTTCACCCTTGGACGAGGTCATTCAGGCTGGTATATTAATGAATCTTCACACTTATGTTTATCATTATCTTCATCATCCTGCTGTTTTGTCTCCTGCAGGATTCCAATTCACTCCAGTTATTAATCTTCAGTCTACACTATATCTTTAAGAAGGGTAAGTAATTTTTTTTTTCATCACCCTCTTTTCTCTGATAAGATCCCACTAGTTGGCTGATGTTGCCTCTCAGGATATACTTATTTCTTAAAATCCATATCAGGCTAGGTATAACAGAAGTTGCTCTACTTGTGTCTACTGTCAAATTGGGGTGTTCGGTAAGATCACTAGAGGTATTCTTCTGGTTTTAAACTTACTATATGGATCCAGGCTGTACCATTCCATGGACTATCATGAAAAGAGCCGGTAACAAGACGGCATCTGCCAACTTTGGCTCATGCTTGCTGGCTTTTCAAAATACTATTTTGTGATTATCCATTGCATTATTTCCAGTAAAAGACCTTTTCAATAGGCATCTGATGAGGATCTGGGTACTTCTCTGGGTCTCCCCAATGTGAATTCTCCTCCTCCTCTTCAAGTGAAACATGGGAAACCCTTGCCACTGGAGTGGTAAACCTTGAAGAGTTCCTCAGTGATTTTGTACAGCACAATACAGTGAGAGTAGGGTGGCTGCAGCATTATCTGTGTATTGCAGGTGAGCCCTCAAACAACTAGTCCTCCTCCTGCAGCAGGATGGATTTGTCATCCCCATCTCTGTCTGCCTAGTTGAGTTGAGACACACACTGTATTGTCTGATTGCACTCTAACATCTTGGCTCACTGACTATTTATGTGCAGATGTTTGATTGGTCTTGCTAAAATTTCACCCATCTCTGCAACACTTGAGGCTCTCTCTTTTTCATTTCCCTTTGTTTCCTTCCAGGTGATAAGTATACCCTGGATGAGGTGAGATGTGGTCTCCCACGAGTGTGCTCCAATGGAGCCCCTGCCATCAGGTGTAACATTCCATGGGCTTTTCCTTCAGGTACTTTCTGAAGGGAGCTCATCTAAGTTTAATGTTTGCACAATGTATTTCACCATTTTAATGTGGCATTGTGTGTGGAGGTTAGATATCATCTTAAAAGTTAACATTTTCCTGACCTGAAAATGTATTCCTGATATTACTCATTCATACCCACTTCCAGTGCAGTTTCTTCTTGCCTCCTCAAAGAATGAAGTTCTTTTGAGCACAAGTGCTTAGGAAGAATTACTGCACATGGAGGTTGTGTTGCCCTTCTATTGGTGGGTGATGATGCCAACATGTACAAGTGGAGTTCACGTTAAACACATGATTTTTAGGTGGAAGGTAGCTCAAGTGTAGAAGTGTGCAACTCTCATACGTAGATATGTGGGGGGTTAAGCTATTGTGTATGCGAAGATGAGTATCTATTGGAAATACATTTTCAGGTCAGGAAAATGTTAACTTATGGCAACTTTTAGAGATAAATCCTGTTGGATTATCTGAGGTAATTGAGGACATTCAGGAGGCTTCAACTAGTTTATGAATAGATGTTTAACTTTTTTAAATCGTTTAGATAAATTGTTAATAGTAACAGTATATATCATATAATGTTTTCATGGAAAATCTTAATTTCATTATGAGATGACTGGTGTTAAAGTAACAAGTGTGATAAAATATTATAGTATTAGTGAAATTAGATAAAAGTAAAAATAACTTTAAATGGCTCAAGTAAACAGGGTACATAATAGTAGTTCAATTATACTCAGTACTGTAGTCTTGGTTGTTTTTCATTCTTGTTGCCCTAATGAATGATCATGATTTGCCATTTTCACGATTATGCATCATATGAATTAATGTCTCATATCATTGGTATAAATAATGATGGAGCTAAGATTTTGGATGGTGTAATCCAGTTAGCCTGATAATTTGTTGTATTGAGCAAAATACCTCCTTGGCAGTGCCCTACGACATAATTTTGTTTAAATACTATAAGGTACTGTTTTTATACTGGAAATTTACATTGGGTCAGTTTTAAGTATTCAATCTTTTTACTATAATGGATGGTAGCATGTATGTCAGTATCTATATATGTAACCCAAACTCCTTCAACATTTATTGAATGACACCATAAACAAAAATCAATTAAAAATTTCACACTTTGGGTATTGAAGATTCAGACAATTAGAAAAATAATTGTGGTATGTGCAACAACCATTTCTTTATAATAGAACACAATATTAAATAAAAGTAATCTCCTTTCAAGAAGAGCATGACTTTCACTTGGACTGTATGTAAGGGTTTAATTATATCTATTCATGTAGATAATTTTTAAATGTAGTACTGAGAAACTGGGGGTTCTGAAAAAAGCTTTTTTCAATAAACGGTACCACTTTTAATGTATGAAAGCATTGCAGTTTATATCAGTAAAATTTATTAAATTTTTTTAGCCTTGTATATTGAATCATTTTGCTCCAATAAGTTGCATATGACTAGAGCACAATGCGAGCATTTTTCCTGTGCAGTACTTCCCAGAAAAAAAAAATCCTTTTTAGAAAATGTTCACTTTTCTAAATTTTTCTCCATGAGGTATGACTACTACGATTGGTAATTACTAGCACAAACAGCTGCCCATAGGATGCAGTTTCTACTATTATTTCCAAATATGTTATAATTCATCATAGTTGTCACTCTTTATAAGTTTTCCTTTGTGATTCAAAAACATACAAAAATGCCTAAGTCCAATCAAAAACATTTACATCATTAAACTTACTAATTATAATTTTTTCTATACTGAATTGTACTTTTGATCATATGAATTATTAGTTTTCCTTCAAGTTACCGATACTATCATTTAGGTTTGTTGAATGTGAATAATATTGTTTTGACCACATTTCTTCAAAAACAAATGATGGGCTTTCCGAATTGTCTTAAACATGTATATGCCTTGGAGTTTTATAGTTAACTTATTTGTTTCTATTGCATGACTTTAATTTTTTGTCATTTTCAAATGACTTTATACCTTGTAGCTTGCCTGTGTACATAGTCTTAAATATTCTGTATAAAGTAGCCAAAAAAAAAGTAAAACACATTTAAGATTTATCACTATCACAGCTCGGCCAGTGGTTTCAGGGTGTTTTTAGTCATCTGAGTCTAATACCTCGCTACCTCATACCTTGCTACTTTGATACAGTCATCACTGGAGCTTACAACATCTTGCTAACAGTCATGTGGAGGAGCATGTCAGAGTAAGTGTAACATCTTCCTATATGATTGAATAAAATTTACAAACTTTATTACATTACTATAAGTAGTAGTACATTAAAAATCTGTCATCATGTGGTATTGTTGTGCAAATCATTGTATAATATGAAGTGATCATACAAATACAGATTAAGATTTTTTTCTTAAATTACTTGCATGTTTATTATCAGTAATAATAAACAGTAGTTAAAGCCAAGTGTGAATACAGAGTAATTTCTGCAGGTATTCCTAAAGTGAGTTAAAATTTTAGATTATTAGTAAACATTAGATCATTAATAAACAGTAGTTGAAGCCAAGTGTGAATACAATACAGAATAATTTCTGCAGGTATTCCTAAAGAGAGTTAAAATTTTAGATCATTAATTTGACATCTGTGTTCTTGGAAGATAGTTTTATTGAAAATTGTTTGTAATTAATTTTTCTGTCTGTAATTTTTGTATATTTTAAGTCAGAATAACAATCAAGTAATGAACAGTGTGCTTTAGAATTGGTGTTTTTTTATCTTGTGTATTGCATTACTTCTAATGTGTGACTAGATTTCATATGTAATTTTAAGTACTAGTTTTCATGAATGCTAGAATATATAATATCTCACAAGCAGTATCAGAAAATCATTGTTTTCTGTTACATTTCAGCTGCTTCTCAGTAGTAAAGTTGTTTAGCTTATTACTGCTCTTTGAATAGCCTTTTATATTTCTCATTCAGTTAACCAAGTTTCAACCTATCTTTTGAATTTGTGTACCAATTTCTTTCTTGATCTGATAAAAAGATGTTCTTCCTGTTTTGTTTTAAATATTTGATCAATACTACTTTATTGTTGTATCAATAGTGCAAAATATTTTTCATTCATTTTTTTAGTAAATTGTCCAGTAGTTTAAAATTCATGAAATGTCTCAAAAATGGAAATGGTTAAAAATTATGTAAGGTGAAAAAAAATTTTGGTCAGTATATTCTTCAGTTGATCTTTTTGGGTCATTTGGTCAGAACATCTGTTTTTTTTTTTTAGTCCCAGGATATTTACTTATTTTCAGATTCCCTCAAGCTACTAACTGCATGTGTTAAGTGTTTTTAAAAGGTCTTAATTTGTTTATCTCTTGTAGAAGTGGAAGTTTTTAGGTCATTGTTTATTATCTAATTAAAGCTTTTATTAGTGATCCAGCTAAATTAGAAGCTTGTGTACTCAAATTGTTTTTTTTAGAAACCTGAATATTTTCATTCAATAGGTTTGTGGATGAGGGTTCTTCCTTTGTTAAGGCACTGGCTATGGGCTCTGTTGCTCTCAGTGGTGTTGTAAAAAGTGCCCCACTACCTGGACTTTCACCTCGCCTTGCTCCACCTCAACCTCCTTTCACCCTGAATGAGGAAACTAGCAGACGGGAACAGAGCTGCACAACAATGGCTGCAGGTAAATAGAACATGCTATGTGTTTCTCTTTGGTTTGGTAAAAATTCTGCCAGGAAATTGATATTTATGATTAATCAGAATGCTACTTAGAAGTATGATGTATAGTTGGTCATTTAGTTATATAAGTTTCTATTAGCTTTATGATGAACAACTTTATTTATTGTCGTGAGCAACAGGCAAATACTTTTTTTTTAGTATCATGTAGTACCTGAAATTGGTTTTATGAAAGCTCTATTATTTTCTGCTTTTGTTATGATTTAATTATGTAAGCCTATTAATTATTATAGTCAGTGGTTTGAGAAACTCATCACAAGCCTTTGATATTTTTATAAATGAAGGAACATGAGCTTTATGCCAGTTTGTATTGGTATATACCATTGTGCATTACAGTAAATGTTTATTCCTTGTTAAATATGACTCTACAAAGATCTTAAAAATAAAATTGAGTACATTCATTATGCTGTTTCTGTGAGCTCTACCTAATGTGCTGATGTCAGTTGGGTGTGTGTGTTTCATGTGAAGCTACAAAGTACATAGCAAACAATAAAATGTTATCAAAAATGAATTAAGAGTTACTTTGCAAATCTGAAAATCAAAACTGTTGAGTACATGTTAAAGATATTTAAATGTACAATCAAGTATAAATATATTGTCATATTTTTTCATGGCTGACTTTGCGATATTGAATAACATTTTCTAACTTAACCAATTCAAAATGAATAATATTTTTAAATTCTAATTTTTTTATTCATTTTGGTTGTATAAAAATATGAATTGAATAAGTGTGGTAATAAATTTAAGTGATTATGTAAGCTAATAGATATTGTAAAGTTTCACATAATTTTAATGTTACAGCTGAGGCCCAGCATGGCCAGGTGTTTATGGTGCTTGCCTGGCAACTTGAGGGTCGCTGGTCGAATCCCCATCATGCAAAACATGCTTGCCCTTTCAGCTGTGGAGATGTTATAATGTGATGGTCAATTCCACTATTCGTTGGTTTGCAGTTTCTCCCTTTGGCCTTCATTTTTGGCATAACTGGCTGAATTGGGTCTGGCATTGGATGACATTGCTGTCCCCAGCGATCAGCCCATCCTGCCATGGCTTATTACCATCCCTGCCTGTGACCTTTTCTTGAGTCATCTGAGGAAGGCGGATACTCCCGATTGGAAGTACTGTCTTCTCTTTGCTTAACATCTTTTGAACCATCCTTCTATTTCCATTTACATAGATGGTTCAAAATCAGTTGACTCTGTAGGCTCTGCCATGATTTGCCATGGCTCGGTAGTTGCTCGCAGAATCCCCTCTACAGTTTCTGTGTTCACTGCCGAGTTGTATGCTATTTCTTGTGCCCTGGATCATGTAGAAGCTATGCAGTACAGCTATTGTACTATTTATACTGAATCTCTTAGCTCTTTACTGGCCTTGAAATTGCTTAATGTTAGTTCTCGCCCTGTTCTTGTAGATATTCAACAACAACTGGCCCATTTTTCACTATCTTCTGTTTCCATCCATTTTCTTTGGATACCTGGCCACGTTGGTATTCATGGGAATGAGCACGACCGTGAGCAGCAGCACCATTTTAGATGCATGTTTTGTAAGGGTTTACCCTTGACGTTGGACGGTGTCATTGATTGTATTTTTAATTCTTTTATCTGTATTTTGGACATATTTTGGTCTTAACTCAATTTATTTTTTACATTTTACTTCAATTTACTTTTTACTGGTTGTCTGGCACAGATAGTCTAGTTGCTTTGTGCCATAAAACACCAACCAACCAACCCTCTAGTCTTTCACTGCTAAATTAGGGATGACTAGTGCAGATAGCACTTGTGTAGCTTTGCTTAAAATTCATACCAAAACAAAGCTCCAGCTGAACAGTGTTAAATGATTAAGACATTATGAATGAAAAATATTTTTATTGTATTTTGTAGTACTGAGCAAATTACAGTCCACAACAATAAATGGATTAATTATTATATTAATGTAACCAAAGCCTGTACAAAACTTGAAATAGTTCTCAAAATTTGAGATTGTCTTTTAGCCTTTGTAATGCAAATTTTTCATACATATCTGATTTTATCTCTTTTCACCATTTATCTCAATAAATAAAATTTCATGAATAATTTGAGTCAATAAGAGATGAATGTGTTTCTTTATTACATTCTAGGTATGTTTTTCAGATCATAATGTTTTGCATTATTTAAAGAATTCCGTTTTTATCTATGTATGTTGCAATTATTCCTGAACTTATTTCTAATGAAGGTACTAAATTTCTTGCATAATATTGCTCAACCTATGCCTCAACAATATGTGTTTTTCTTGGAGCAAGAATTTCATGCATTCCTCATTTGTTTTCCTCATCTTTGTTTCTTTTGCAGCTTCTTTGCTGCCAGTCTCCCATTTATGTCCACTGTGTGGCCATGTTCTGCATCTCTGTTTAAGACATTAGTTTATTCCAGCTACCATAAAATACTATTGTTTTGTCTCTTGGAAAACAAATATTTGTTATTTATAACTTCTTTTCATCTAATTTTGTAAGTTTTAAATATTATTTTGTCTAAAAGCATTTTATTTACTGTAAAAAAAGTAGTGAACAATAAACAAGTACTCCACAGAATTTTAGCTTTGTTTTTTGCACATCAGTCATGATCACTTTAATTAGCATTGTACGTAATTAACATGGATAAGCTAAATCTCATGATAAATGAAGTTGTCACTGTTATCTTGAGTTGATCTTCTTTACACAGGTTTACCTCACTTTGCTACTGGATACATGCGAAACTGGGGACGGGATACTTTCATATCTCTTAGAGGTTTGTTCCTCATCACTGGGAGGTACCAAGAAGCTAGGTTAGTGCTGGTCTTTTTCTTGTCACTCCCAGTATATACTTGTAGCCTACATTAGTACTAGTACTTGATTCTCAGTACATTACTTATTTATAGTCTTAAACATATGTAAGAATTGGTAGGTATCACTCTTTAGTCATCAACATTAACAGCTATTTTGAAACTGTTTATTGCTAGTTTTTCTTCGTTGTGATAATGTGGTTGATCCTCAAGAAAAATACTATAACACTGCATCAGTATAAATTATCTTGATAATGAAGGACTAACAAAAAGTTAAGTGAACAATTTACTACAACTGTGCTTCAATTAGTCTCTTGTTAGAGCCAGTCTTTCATTCTAAAAGTGAAGAAATAAGCTACTGTGGTAAATAATTTTGGAAGTATATACTTGTGTTTTTAGCATAAATGTAATTTTTTTTCCTTAACAGCTTTAAAATTTTAAGCCTATAAACAAACTTTACGCCACTCTGTATTATAAAAAATCTAATTGGGGAACTTAACTTTTCAGAATCTTCTGTGAAGAATAATGTTTATTAAAGTATAACACTGCATTACAATATTTTAAAGACCTTAAGGAAAAAAGATGTTTGCTCTCATGTTAAACTGATAAGTTTCATTGAGCCTTATTGACAAATCTAACTTAAAAAAAAGTTGACTTATGAATGTTTGATTTTTCCTGTATTAATCTACAGTTCCTTATATTTATATTAATTAATGCTCTAACGTGAATTTTTTCATTGTAATTAACAGAGAAAGTTTTATGGTTTATATATTATGACCACAATTATTATTAACAATGAAGGTACCCAATGCATTCTAATATTTATAGGAAAGAATGTAAGGAAAATATATTTGATTAGCTGTACTCCTCACCAGGTTGGTTTTTAATTTTGTTCTAAATTGGTAGCTTTCTCTGATCAGAAGTTAATATTAATTAAATATGTGTCCTGTATTTTTGTCCATGTTCTCATTCATCATTGATTGAGAAATTAGGAAAGGAACTTAAATAAATCAACAGAAAAATTATGCCTTAGCATTTCATATTTGTCCTTTCTATTTTTTTAAATACATCCAGCTACAGCTGTTATTGTGTCTGAAGTAGGTGTTCCCATTTAGTTTGTAAAGCTACCAAAAAGATTGTTAGTTATTCATAGTACCTATATAGTTGTACACTCATTCAAATTATGAGTCATTTTTATTAACTATGATACATCAGAGTGTGCTTAACAATCAGAAGTGGTATTGGTCATTACTACAGTAGTAAATATAAATACCGGTTTGGGAGTTGTTCAAGTGTAAAAGTGCTTCATTTCAGCCTTCTTGTAAGAAAGAAATTTGAAAATTTTGCTAAGCTAAACATTTAATCCTTTCAGCCTAGTCTTGGTCCCTGGGATTGACCTCATAACCATTTTTGTGCTTTCATACGCAAAATATATAATTTTTTTATTAAGTCTTAAGGTTTGTAAAGCAATGTTTCTTTCATGCCTTTTTTTTCACATCTTGCCTATCTATCATGCAAAGTAATTTTCATTTTAAGATTAAAAATACTTTTATGCATCAGAAAATTTTGTAATTTCACATGCGAAATCTTTATAATGTCTAGATAGTTATCAAATGTTTCTTAAGAAAAAACATTTTGTTATTTTCAGTAATTAATCTCTGTACGGATTCGGTAGATTTGAACGATCTCACAACCACCATAAAAGATTAGGAAATACACAAATTATTCCTCTTTCATTCTAGAAAGAACACAAATTATAACACTAAAACATAAACGTTAAGACAAAATAGTTTAAATCTCATAACATTATGCATTTATATGTTTTTATTATATTGACCTTTCACCCATGCCTGGCTAACAATACAAAAGTTACAATGACACGGCTCACATGCACTCATGTGTTACCATATCAAATAACATAAAACTGACCTTTGGTCTGTACAAAGTAACTGTGTTTTAGTAGACTAGTATTTTGTAAAATACAGTCACATTTCAATTATTATACATTATATATTTATTTTTCATAAAACAAAGAACAGTAAATAATAAAGTAAAGCAAACAATTATCTTTTCTAGTTACGACCCTTGTACTCGGTTGCTGCATGACGTAGGTTGCTAAGCCTTTAAAAATTTTGCACATGGAGGATATGAAACAAAATATTTTTTTTAGGTTTTATATACACATTTGAATAACTAAAAAATCATAAATTACTACATCAATACTATAGAATTCAACTATAATTTATCAAGCTTAGGAACTAAGATGTATTTTGGTCTCAAAAAGTATGAAATT